GCTTTATAAACTTTTGCAGAACCACCATCACCAATCTTTTGAAGATTTTTAAATCTACTATATTCATGAAAATTAATGTGTTCATTTTGAATTGCCTCATTTAGCCATTCTAACCAATTATCATTAGATTTATCAATAATTGCTTTGTCTTCATTGATTATTCTATTGTTTGGCTCATCCTTTGTTTCTTTGCTGTCTTGACTTAAATTCAATTTATGAATTTTTTTAAAATCAAGATCACTTAAAAGGCCATAATCACTATTGTTACTTAAATTTAATCTTCTACTTGTATTATTATCACCACCAATATTAATACTATTAAATTTATTCAGAGCAAATTTCCGAAGTTCACCAATTGTTGGTCTATTAGTTGGGTCCACATCCCAACACCTTTGCATCATTTGCACATAATCAACAGGCATTCCAGGTAATATTGGTGGTCGTAAACCTTCACATATATCAGCAACTAAATGATAATCACGAGCTCTATCATAAAATGGTGGATTGCCTGCAAATATTTCCCACATTAACATCCCTACACTGTAGATATCAGATTCTTTTGTATGCTCTTTGCCTCTAAGCAGTTCAGGTGCAGCATATGATGCAGGTATATAGAGTTGACCTGATGATTTTTTATCAACTGTTCTACATAAACCCAAACTAGTAATACAAACACTACCACCTTCACTCATTAATATATTACCACTGTGTAGATTACAATGGATTAAATCCTTTTCATGTATATAATATAGTGCACTACATAAATAGCTAAAAATAATGTTCTTATTTTTTAATGTTAAATTAGAATGATTTTTTTGTAGATAACCTCTCAAATTCCCTTGTTGAGAATGAGCTAAAACAATCACATAATTTCCATTAACTTGGGTTTTAGTTATACCATAACAAGGGGCAATTAAATTTGGACTAATCTTACAATAATTCAATACCTGTAATTAATTATATAATACAATCAATTAATTTAAAATAAATGGTTTAATTTAGTTTAAATAAGATCAATTACCTCATCAAATAAACGTTTTCCTGGATTACTTGAATTATTTAATGATTTTAATGTTACTTTATGAGCTCCAAAGTAATTAAATTTATTTTTATTTTCATCATAATCACATATCTTTCCTCTTGTCCACCTGGCAGTGTAAATTGAACTGAATCCACCTTCTGTTAAATTTTTTACGTTTTCAAATTGGTTGCAAGGTATCCATTCTATAATTTTATCTGGAAGGGATGAAAACTGTTGACATTTTTGAATAAAATCATCAATTATCTCATTTCCAGATGTCCAAGTGCTGAAAAGACTCTGTAGGTGTAGACCAATACACTTTTCACAAAATTTATCAGAGTATCTTGTTGTCTTACACTTGTTACACTCTCTTGGTTTTCCCCATTTTTCAATTGCATTATTTAATTCAAAAGCATAAATATACTTTTCTCTACAAGTTTCTTTTTCTTTTGCTGAAAGTTCTTTGTTTTCATAGACTAATTGTAAAAAATAACTTTTTTCTTCTTCTCTGTCAAAAGCAGTTGTTGAAATAGCAATATTACACATTTCAACATAAATTTTTGATACTAATTCCTTTCTGTCTGGTGTTAATAATCTTTTAAACGCCATTTCTTGCTTTATTATATTAATATCCCAATTTCCTTGACTTTAAAGGTTTTTATTTTAAATATAAATATTACTATTTTATAAAATGATTTTGCTACCTCCGTTTTAAAAAGACGGTTTTTGAAAAAGAAAATATTAATATTAATTGGTGATACGCCAATTGTATTATTAATATTAATATTAATATAGGATAGGAAACGTCTCTGATTCACAGATCGACAATTAAATATTTCTGATCTCGTACTACCAGAATTTAATTTAATTAGTAAGGTGATTTTTTAATTTGAATTATGAATTTAAAACTTATAATGTATCAATTTATTAAATTCTCTCTTTATATTGAATATATATTATGATTAAATTATTTTAATTAATAAATACTAATAAAAATTTCAAGATTAATTTAATTTTTAGATGCAATTAATATAATATTGTCTATAAAAATGGCGGCAATAACAATATCTTCAATCCATTTTCATTCATTTTTTTTTACTACTACTACTTCTACTATAAAAAATTTATTCTTTTTAGAAAAATATGAAAAAAATCTTTATAACTGATAAAAGAGTAATGATAATTTCAAATCTCTTTTCATTAATTTTTCCAACTTTATCAATTTTTGTTAATGGACACATTTTATTTGGATTAAATAATAATAATCAATTACTACCACGACAAATGCAACCAATTGGTGGATTGAATTGTTTGAATGGCTTGAATGGACTGAATTGTATGAATGATCTTGTGAATGGAATGAATGGCATGGTTGGTATGAATGGTGGAAATAATGGAAATAATGGGAATGGCGGAAATAATGGGAATAATGGGAATGGCGAAAATAATGGAAATAATGGAAATAATGGAAATAATGGAAATAATGGAAATAATGGGAACAATGGAAATAATGGAGATAACGGGGATGATGGAAATAATAGACAAGATCAACAACAACAACCTGATCAACAGCAGCAACAACAACAATTATTATTGTTACAAGCAGGTTTAGGATCATGTCCACAAAACTTCTTTTATAATGGATTATGTCATCCGTGCCCATTTGATTATTTCCAAAGTTTTAGCGGATGCTCTGGGTTTTCACATCAACAACAACAACAACAAATTCCACCAATTGCTGTGATCGCAATTCAATCAGCACCAGCGGCAACGACACCTCAACAACCACAACCAGACACTGATGGCGATGATGGCGGTGGTGATAATGGCGATGGTGATAATGGCGACGGTGATAATGGCGACGGTGGTAATGGAACAGATGATAGAGATCGTGATGGAACTGGTAACGATGACGGAGATCGTAACGAGACAGATGGAGATGATGATGGAGATCGTGATGGAGATCGTGATGGAACCGATAGAAATGATGGTAGGGATCAAGATGGAATGGACAGAGATAATAAACAAAGAAAAAGAAGTTCGATTGTAGTAGTAGAAAAAAGGGTGCATCGAGAAGACAAAGATCATGATAAACATAATGATGACTATCATAATGACAACAACGATGATTGTAAAAAAGATGATGCTGATTACCATAAACATAAAGAACATATTGATCATGATGGTGTTGACGATGATAAAGATAAATACAAAGAAGATATTGAACATCACGATACTATTAAAGAAGAATGTGAAAATCTGCCTTCCATTGATAAAACCACATTCATCGAACAACCAATTGTCGTAGTATTAGATAAAACTGAAACTAGAGAATGTGAAGGAGAGCTTCAAGAAGATTGCAAGGAAATCAGCGATGGTATTGGCGACGGTGTTTACAATGACGTACAACAACATATTGACGAATTTACTTATCCGACGACATTACCATCTGCTTATTAATTCTATAAAAAAAAGATATATTATTATAGTTATTTAGCCATGTAGATTATTAAATATATGTGTTATTATCAACAATTTTCTTTAATTAAATAAAAAATAAAAAAATTCCCGTACAGATAACCAAATTAAATCAAAACTAAAATGATTGATTAAACATGACTTCCAGAAACTTTTCATAATTTATTTCTGCCCAACCATCATTATTCCCATCCAGTTGACGAAACAAATCGGTGACAGTTTTCACAGTGACACAGATTTGTACAAAATTATCAAAGTTCACTGAAGTTTCATGAAGTTGTTGATTCTTTTTCATTGAAGTATCAATATGCTTAAGTTTATACTTTCTGATTAATTTTATTAACAAAGCTTTATTGATGTTTATTTGAAAAGTTTTCATTGCATTCATCAGTTCATCAATGTCGATGAGTCCGCTACCATCCCTATCAAACGTAGCAAACAATTTTCTCCACTGTTCAATGTATCGCCACAATCCAAAAAATTCCTGGTAATGAATAGTTCCATTTCTGTCAACATCAAACATATTAAACAACAATTGAACTGTGTCCATATTGAAAGTTGTCCAATCACCATTCACTAACGCTCGTTGTAACTCTGCAGGAGTAATTCCTCCTGATTTATCAGAATCCAATTTCGAAAAAATCAATTTTAGTTGATTGTCTGAGTAATTCATTTTTAAACAAAAAATTAATTTTAAATTATAAATTAATTAACACCACAATTCCAAATGTAGCCTCATAGAATTGGTGATACTGCGGTAAATCAGTAAATCATTTAAATTGGGTATTATTTATCATTATTGTATAAAAAAAATTTTTTCAACTTTCTCCAAAAAAAATATAAATATATTCAACCGTATTAAAGAATATCTATCAATTTGAAAGAAATAAAAAAACATATTTTATAAAATAATTAATTATATATATATAAAATAATACATTACTTTTATCGTATAATAATAACATAATAATAATGGCAAAAAGTATGCGTAGTAAAGTTAAACGTAGATTTCGTGCAATTAGAAGAGAGAAAATTTATGAACCAGTTGATAAAGCACGTTTAGAACAACTCGCACTTGGAGAACTTGGATTAAAATCAATGGATACTGATGAAAACAAAGAACCCAATAATAACATTAATAATAACATTAATAATAATAACCTTAATAAAATTAATAATAATACTTCAAATAATAAAAATATTTCAAAAGAATCAATATCGACATCATCATCCTCATTAAATCAAGGTTTGTTGTTGTCAACTTCTTCAACTTTATCATTTTATGAAGTTTTAGGACTGATAGATCCGGATATTATAGACGTTGATAATATTGGAGAATATATGAATATTCTTTCAAGCATTTTATAAATTATTATTAATTATCATATTAATTATTAATTAATTATTCATCTTTTTTTAAAAACCCATTCTCTTTTTCTTTTTCTATTTTTTCTTTTAATCTATTTTCTTTAATAGATTCTATTGGTGGTGATGGTGATGATAATAGTATGGAAATTGATTTGAAAAAGATTTCCACAAGTGGACCAAGATCAAGTAATAATTATAGAAGGAAGATGTTTAAAAAGATACGAAGAAAGAAAAACATATTGAAAAGAAAGAGTAAATAATTTATAAATGATTATTATTTATATATAATATATATTGTTAATAGTTTTTTTAGCAGTTTTTTTTATTATCTAGATTTGACAATTTCTTGTAAAATTTTTTTCTTTTTAAATTTATTTCTTTTAAATAACAACAATAACAACAATATAACAATAAACAAATTTTGCGTTTTACGAAATTAAAAGATTGCATGTATGTATATTCATAATTTCTTTACTTATACATGCTATAAATCGTAATGAGCCTTTTTCCTAAAGAGAATTTTTATTTCTTACACCAAGAAAAAAAGTCAATATTAATTTATTTTGTCTTTTAATTTTAAGTAGTAATCAATCAATAAACATATTTTAAAGTGAACATTACGTCATCACATAAGGATTTCAGGGTTAAAAATCTTTGTGGTATACCAAGTGACCCCGAATATATTTTTTCATTCTTTTTCTCTTATACATTGCATCAAATAGAAGGGTTCAATAACTTGCCCAAGAACTTTCAAACTTGGAAAATTTTCGAAAGAAGATGGAAACAGAGGCCAAGGAATTGGAAAAGAATTGAAACTAGATAAACTTCGCTTGTAACTTTAGCCAGTTTATAATTATCATGGCAGAGATTCTTTTATTTGAAGGAATGTATGGTATACTGTTTGTATGACATTGACTAATTTGTGCCTTTTTTGGTTCCTCTTGTTTCCCGTCACCATCTTTGGACCACTCTTTTTCTTTGGATGAAGAAGGTTATCACAATTCTGCTTATTTTTGTCACATACTTTGTCTGCTAGAAAATATAATTGTTGTTCTTATAACTAAGCATTATTATCTTAGTGCTCTGGTGTGGTTCTCTTATTAATAAAGCTTATTATATCCTACATTAATTATTCTTACAGATGCAATGCAAACTATATTGAGAAAGCATTTCAATTTCCATATCAGGCACTACTTTATATGTCTTCTATGCACAACTAAAATTATTCCATGATAAATGGCAACAGAGGAAAATCCTTATGTTTCTTACAATACTTTAAAGCTCTGGTACTAGCAAATACGACTTGCGTGGGAACTTAATACCAAGTGAACCTATGTTCTTTATGTTTGCAAATGTCAAGAAAGTAGTAGCGGATGTCCTCTTCAACATCCTTGGTTTTAATAAAGTAAGAGCTACAAACTCGAAATGCTTTTATATGCAACAATTCAAGTAATTTATGATTGAACTGAAATACGCAAAATTTTTTTTAGAAGATCCAGATTGAAATTGACCACACCATAAATGTAAACGCGTGGATTTCTGGAACGAGGCCCTTAAATTATTTCCGCAAAAACAACCTTCATTAAAAACAAAGTGAGAGGAATTTTGTGTACAATCTATTCCCCAATAGATATTTGTTGTATTGATGAGGCACATGAGTTGTTAACGACAAGTTTAATACATAAATACCCGATATTTACTTATTCGATGGAGATAACAATTTCAAGATATTGAGTTGCGATATGGGTTATTCTTTGTACAAATAGAAAAATTGGAAATCATCTTCCTCCTTGTCAAAAGGCTCCCAATCTGCTAGATCACCCAGTTTCAATCACTTCTTTCGTATCTAGATGTCCATACTATAAATGTATCTAAAGACCTTACAAAACCTGGTCATGGTTATGTTTACCGGAATAGTTTTTCATGGTAGTCATAATTAATTAATCTTGATAGTTGCTGAAATTATATCCGAAATTATTTGAAACCTTAAATCAAATAACATAGTTCATTCATATAAAGAATATTGAAGAACCGAAATGATTGCTGTAATTACTTTTCAAAAAATGATTTCGGCGAACAGCTATATTATGGCCCTTGCCAATTGTGAACAGAGCATAACTACTATAGATAATTGACACGATTGGCATAGTGATCTAATCATTGTAGTCAAAGAATATTAGTGATAAAGAGAATAATAATAACATTTAGATTAATAAAGAGAAACTTGGATGAAATATTTAGTTCGCGCCCTTATTATTCGGGTTTAAATTATAACTGGTCTATCAATTTATATAATAATAATAAGAAATTATCATCAAATCCCCAAAATTAACAATGATTCTAATCGCTTTTTTGTTCGCTAGAAATAAAAAATTATCAAATATATGTTTTGGAAAGCCAAGGGTGGACGTATATACATAATATACAGTAGCTTGAATAATGTAGGAATTAAATTTGTTTCGCATACATATAAATGTAAATTTACTTGATGTAAAATAACTACAATAATAATAAAAAATTAGTATTGGATAAATTAATTTGTTCTTATCACGTGATAACCTGTTAATTATGCTTAAATGGGAAGGATCGTCGGTGAATCTCGGTCAAAATTTTTATTTTTGATTGTAAAATCAAACATCAAACCCCAAGGTTTTTTTTTATTAATAAAACTTTCTATTACATTGTTGCTTATGTTCTAAAGGCTACAAAAAAAATAGAGATGGTTATCGAGCTTTAGCATTTTAAAAGATTGACTATTTTTTTGATGTTTTTAGATGATCTGCACCATATAAGAAATCTATCCCACAATAGTTAAAAACTTACAAGAATTAATGGCACGACTGTTGCTTCTAAGAAAAACAAGAAAGGTATTAATTAAGTGCAGAATACGGGCGACTATCATACTCTCATTAGTGGAATTTCCATATTATACCAAGATATACTGAAATCTTGCCAGAACATAAATAGAAATATTACTATGAAATTGCAAAAAAATAATTAATTCCTTTTGCTTTTTAGAAGTTTTGCTATCTTCACTTTGTTCTCATCCCATATGATAATCACAATATTTTATTCTCAATTTTTATGGGGATGCCATTGTGTAAATGATTACAATCACGGCGGACCTGATTCGCGTTATAACGGATTTTTAAAATTTTTACTCTGCATAATAATAATAATAATAATATAAAATCCGTTATGACGAGATTAATAATTATGTAGTAGTAGAACATCCTTAGAATATAAATGACTTCGTGTCACTATGTGTCTGTTTTTGTATGTTTCATGCAAGTAAAAAGATCTGGGCTCTGATCCGAGCCCTTTGGTGCATATTTAATTTATTAATATTAAAATAAAATAGGTTGATCAAACGTTTAACTGATCTTGCCATCTTATAAAAAAGATCCAGTACTACTAATCAATAATTTCCGATTTTTACTTTTAATTTTTTTTTTCTTCCTAGAAAGAAAAAAATGACAAAAAATAATTCTATAATTTTAAATAAATCGACAGCTCCAAAACCTTCAATACCTTTCACTATATTACCAAGTCCTTTTCAAACTATAATTGTGATCAGTGCAGCACAACATCAACAAGCCATACAAAAAGTAAACGAACTTGATAATGAAATCAGAAATGCTGGAGGTACAATATATCTAACACATATATATACACACATTCGCGTATAGTGTACTGCGAAAAAAATGGTATTTACAATGCAAATTTGTTTCCTAAAACAATAATAAACAAAAGATGTATTTATTATAAATCATTATGTTCAATGAACGCATTTACGGAAAAAATTTTCTCTCTTGCCGCTTAAAACCTTTGAGCCTTCAAAAACACATAGTTAATACAAAGCATTTATCATTGTCAGCAGACACCCATTAGAAAAACGCGACATGACATAAAAAAAAGAACGTCAAAAGATATTAGTATTAGTGAATGAATGTAGAAAAAGCCAAAAGTCCTAAAGACAAATATGTAAATTAACTCTACAAAAAATACGACAACGTTATTTCATATTTGATTTCCTTTATTTAATAAAGCATTCAATGGGATTTTAAATGAATCCAATTTAATTTAATTATCTTTTACAATTGTCGAGATGTACGATTTTTCTCATGCCATTTTTTTCGCAACGCATTGTATAAATTAATTTTGACCAAGAAAAAATTTTTTTGATAATTATTAATAATATTTTATTTATAAAATAGTAAATTTGGTGCTTATTCAAGAAGTTAGCAAGAAGCAAAAGGTTGATTATTCAACTATTATTTCAGAATTGATTCCTTTATATGGAAAAATCAATCGATTAATTCCATTATATTATATTGTAACAAAGAATAACGATATGGCAGCAAGAAATCTCATAAGTATGGTAATTATTATATATTTTATTTCTTCGAAGAGAAAAAAAATTCACCATTATAACATGCATTCATAACTATTCGTAATATAGAAATATCTTATCCAACAACAAATTATATCATTACCTGATGAACAATATTTCTTAAGAATTGACGAATTACAAAGACACAAAGAATTGCTTTATCAACTTGAAAAATATGAACATGCAATAGAAAAATTACAAAATTATGGAGGTTACATTGCATGTAAATTACAGTACATTACACGAGATCATGAAGAAACATCTTTATTATCATCTTCTTCCTCCTCCTCTTCTTCTTCATTGTCATCATTATTATCCCCGAAAAATTCATTATCATCTTCAACAAAATCAACAGCAGCACTAATGAATGATCAGAATGATGTTAACAAAAGAGAAGGGGATGGTGACGATAACAATGATAACAATGACGAAGACGATGATGAAGGAGAAAATATTTACGGATTGGGATTTACAACTAAGCTAAGTTCTGGGGCAGGTGCACTTGCAAAATTTTTATCTTTGGTTGAAGACGATGATTCATTTGGTCAACTTTCAAGTCAAGTTGGGGATTTATTTGTACCAAGGAAATTTTCACATAATAATAACACAAACAATCTTAACAGTAATTATATCAATAATTTCATTTTCATATGTGAATAAAAAAACAAAGTTATTTTTAATTAATACATTATGATATCATTACAGAAAAGGAAAACGATGATGATGTGAAGAATTAAGAAATTCAAAGTGATCTAAAAGATTGCTATTGTGATCCGATGATTTTTTATGGATATTAATAATATAATAATAAATATAATTCATGTTTCACCATTCTTTAAGTTATCTATCGACTGTAATGTATTTGGTTTTTAATAATCCGTATTTAGCAGCATCTATTATCTTTGTCTCTATGGGGCTGTGATGGTGTAATGGTGTAATATGTAACTTTATTCTTTTCCCGTTGGCTGATAACTCTGCAATTTTCTTTTTTTGTTCTCTAGTTGGGTTCATATGTATTTGTTGATTGTTTGTATTCGATCTATCCAGCATGATTGTAATTACGAGATATGCTTGTTAATTGTATCGATAAAAAAATCCTATGTTGTATACATAATTTAATTTATTTAATCAAGTGGGCTTCTTTAGGTGGTATTACTATAAAATAAACAGTTAGCTCAGGTATACATTTCATCACATATTTTCGCAGTATCCATATTTTCAGTTTCATCCAGTTACAATAATGTTACAACATTCAGAAATGCGTGCTAGTAATTCTTCCTTGTTGGTGCTAGGGTTTGATTACTTTCATAGCATCATATACATCTATATCTTCTTCATCTTTATACATGAATAATTCTACAAGCTGCTTTATTAATTTCTTGATGTTATTGCGCAAAACATTATAATTATTTAAACTTTTTACAGTGGAATTTTGTTCTTTATCATTAAATTTCATTACACCTTTTACTAATGCCCGCTATATGGCATTGGATTTGCTTCAATTTTTTATAAATTTGAAAATTCATCTTCAAAATTATATTCACAATTCTGTGACTATACCTAAGAGAACATCAAGAATAATATATCGACCCACGACATTTTTTCGATTGACCTACTATATTTTAATTGCATAGTAAAAATATTACTTTATCCATTTATCTATTTGCCTAGATTCTGTAACGTTTGGGGTTTACCATCAATACCCTAAATCGTCTTAGTCTTGGATCCTGTCTATTAATATTTATCATTATAAATTGTATGATTTAGATTTTTATCACTTCCATGATCTTTTATTAGTTGTGTGCTTATAACTGATATATACTTCCTTTTAATTCTTGAACAATACCCTCAGCTTATATTGCATCAATTCTTTTGCCATTTCATTAAGATATACCATTTGCTTTCTGGGTTGTAATTAACTTTCTTTGCCTTATTATAGTGAGGAATGATGCGCTTTCTCCGATCTATTCACCCTTCTGCTTTGCATCCTTACGGGTTGTATATGGTTTGGCTTTGGGTTTCTTTGGTTTGAGTACTTTTTGCCTTCCGACCCAATTTTATGGGTATGAGGCTGCCACATGCTCAATTTCCCTCCGATCTCTAGTAGGTCTCCTTCCCTGTTTGAATGGATTTTTGGTGAGTACGTTGCTAAAACAGTGGACTATTTGGTTTTTATATCGATTCCTTCACCCCTTGTTTTTTATACCCATTGGATATAAAAATATTGAATTGTAGGAGTAAGTTGAAAATGGTTCGCATGCCATCAACTACAATAGTGAATTCTTCAATTTGATGAACCAACGCTTGTTCATTAGCTAAAAAATTATTAAATGATTATTAAATTCATTATCTTCATCCACTACTGAATTTGTTTATAAATTTTTAATCACCAGAAAGAATACATGTCTCGCATAACATGTTTTATTGTACAACAGACCAGGAACCGAGCAACATAATCAATAACTTGTTTCAAATCGAGCTTAGACCTAAAAAAATTAGATGAAAAAGATTCAATGTAAAAAAATTCAACTATGCTGGCAATATTAATTGCTTATACAGTCGTTCCTGCCTATTTGCATATGATACATTGGTCACATATTGGGGCTTATGAGCTATTTGCGTTCTGGTACTATATGTATAGATCAAACAAGTGTTACCATGTAAATTTAATTTTTATCAAAAAAACCAAGTTAATAACTTTAGTTCAGAAAATACCTACTCTTAAAGCTTGGAAGCTCGGAGGAAGGTGACAATGTATCATCAGGTATATTGAGAATTTTTGCAAATGTTTTAGCTTCTTCAATTAAAATTTAGTCTGCTAAAGCACAATCTTAAAGTGCATGTTCAAGTTCAGGATATTTCACACCACGCGTTTTTTTTTGCTGTGGGTTTGCTTCATTGTTTAAATACTCGGATGAGCGTTTTAATGTTCGGGAGACAGTTGTTTGATCAACCTTTGAACCAAATTCTTGTTCACGCAAAGTAGTCGATCCTTTTTAAATAATTTTTGCTTTTTAAACAAATTTGATGGCATTTAAAGTAATATTTTTCATTGTTAGCCGATTTGGTTTTTTGGATCCTATTTTCAAACCTTATATTTTATTGTGTCCCGATGTTAAACACGTTAAACATGATATGTAAACTGGTCAATAGAATGATAATTAACTCCAAAAAAATATATTTGCTCCGCTAAAAAAATTATTTACTATCCGATAGCCCATCAAACCAATGGCCCCACCTCAAAACCAATGGGTTTTTGCTAGTATAAATTATTCATAACGCTATGATCATACCGTACTGGATTTCGGGGTTCAAACAAAATCAGCGCATATGATGTGAATAAATTTAACATTTTATAAAAATTATTTTATCACATAATTTACATTGGATAACGTGAATATGAATACTCTATTCGCATACATTTGTATATAGACAAGTACGACTGTATTTAGTTTGAAAGTCTTGATCATGGCTTATTGGACACAAGTAAATTTGAAACATTAATTGTACCAAAACATGAGGTGCCCAAGTACTAATAGTCTCAATGTTTGAGCATCAGTTGAATTTACAGCAATAAGAACTGTTGTTATACAAGGCTTGACCTTAAAAAAAAAAAATAAGAAAACATAAAAGGCATTAATAAAATTTTAACGTCCTACATTTTGCTCGAATCTTGAAATTGTTTATTGTAAATTATTTCTTCTGTAAACGATTCAATGAGAACATTTGAAGCTTCGCTGTGAAGCCTAAAAGAGACTAATTTATTCCTTTTCTTGAACGCTGGATCTATCAATTTGAAAAATGGAAGTCACTTATCTTTGATAAGCTGTTTATTCGGCACAACAGCTGATACGAATTAAGGCTTGAAATTTGTTTTGGAAAATAGAATCAGCATCGGTGTTTAGCCATTTTCTACTGCCTTAGTAATTGTAGAGCAACCAATGTTAAGACTAAATATTTATTAGTAAGAAAATAAATGATATTTCAATGTGTAGTTTTGAGTGTAAATGCATGCATATTTCTTTTCTAAGCTCGTCACTAATAAAGGCTCGTTTTTATTTGTACATTTGGTTTCGTTACTCCACTAATGCTATATGGAGGATATTAAATAATTAAAAGGATCCAGAACAAGAAACGGAAAATGAAAACCCATTTGTAATGTGCATGTGGTAACAAAAATCTGAATGTTAAATTTTTAAATTCCTTCAACAAATACCTCCTTCCAAAAAAAAGTTATACACTCATTATATATCTTTAGGCAGGCAATGGAATCGTTTTAAAATATTAATTAGATTGAGTTTTAAAAATTTTTGTCTCCATCTTTAATTTTTACATCAATAATAATCCGATTCATTGAACGAATTTATGAGATGGCTTAATTATTATATATTCTATATTCTTTTTTAAATTATGTTCATAAGAAGAATTGTCATGAATAATAACAACAATATTATTAAATCACAAAACATTATCGTAGCTTCATGAAATTTTTCAAGTAACAAAATCAAAGATCTTGTCTAATATGACATATTGCACATCCAAGTCTTTTGGAACTCTGTTAAGTTAATTTTCATCAATCTTAATATGTTTCAATCCAACAATACATTTCACCTATAGATTTGTTAATTTTCATAATTAGTATGGTTTGTTTAATCCTAGTATCATTTTTGTTCAAAAACTGATCTTGTAAATCCATTTTGAGTATCTTGGAGGGTTAATTGAGACTACAAGGTCCATTATAAATATATTTTTTCAAACCAGACAATGGTTGCACGAATTGATAATCATGTGGTTTATCTACATATTTGCATTTAGGAATAAATTTGGCGATTGTGGATAACATTAATCACGGTAAAAAGCATAGTAACGTTTTGAGCTTTTGATTTTTAATATTTGAAAAAAAAATCTTTATCAATCAATCAACATAATAAAGAATGCCGCAAAAATTAAACACAGGTCCTTGTGGAATAATCGCTTGTAATAAAACCAATGTAAAATTTAGAAGAATTACACCGCTTGCACTTAAAAAATTAAAATCATCACCAGATTATGAGGACGTAAGATATCTAAAATTAAAAGATCAAATTTGTCATAATCATTATATGCAATATGTTGAACCTATTCAACGTAGACGTCCGGATGCATCAAAGAATTCTTCGAAGAGATGAAGATGAAAATTTGTAATATATGACTTTATATATTTTATATAAAATATGTACAAAGATGTTATTTTAATATTAAATGATTTAATAATTTCTTAGGTGAATTCAAAAATAAATAAAATCCGATGAAATAAAATTTTACAAGATATGAATTTATTATTCAACACTCAACGAATATGTATATATTAACAAAAGGAAAGAAAAAAGAATATTTTTTCCCCAAAAGAAATTAATCAAACCAGATAATCATATAAAATTAATTTCAATAATAATAATTAAAAAAAAATAAATAAAATATTCAATGAAAAATATTTTTATTATTTCAAGTAACCATACACTACCTCCCATAATCATTTTACCATTCATCTTTATAATAATAATAACAAATCTTATTCAATCTTATCAACATCTGTGTCACTAGGAACCTTTTCTTCAGTCTCTAAATTTGGGAAGGAATAACGAGATTCTACCTGAGTTGTTGTTACAAGTTCTTTAATTTGAGTTAATATTTCAGGAGAATCTAATATGCTGGAAGGTAATTGAGGACATGAATATGGTAGATGCTGTATATATAAATAATGAGAATAGGAGGATTTAGAAAAAAAAAAAAAAGGATTATAATATTAGAAAAAAATTTTTTTTTGGTAGGTGGATTTATAAAACAAACCTTTTCCTCAAAACTTGTATGAGATTTCAAGATTGCATAACATAATACATATCGTACAAGAAATTGTCGGAGGAAATCATCTTGTAAAAATCGCTTTATTGGTCTATCTATTAGATTACAAGAATATATATATATATATATATATATGAATTTTTGTGTTAATATATATACTTTGTCAAAAAAAAAAATGTATAATTATATTAATAAGTGTGATTGATTTTGATTACCAAGATTAGTTATATTAAACAACTCAATGATCTTCGATTCAATCTCGATCACTAAATCCACACATTTTCCCCATGTCTCGGAACTAATTTTTCCAATATCCGAAATAAATGAAAAACCGAGTAGAGGTGCATGAAGAAACAATGTAAACAAACTACCTATTTGTGACGTGTCTGAGCATTTAAATATAGGTTAGAGTAATTAGTAAAAAATATTTTGATTGGTAGAGAGAAAGGAGGATAATGAATTTGGATGTTTTACCAGGAATAGATGAAGGATATTCGGTTGGTGACATAAGACAAAGGAAAGGTTGATTGAACACCTTTGGAAAATTCTAATTAAAAAAAAAAAAAAACAACAAAAAAATTATTAAAAATAAAAAGATCACAATTGTAAATAATAATAATAATAATCATTACATTAAAAGCTTTACTGTTGTCACTATCGATTATTAGAAACAAAGCCTTGCGAGTAAATGGTACCAAATCACTTGGATGTAAACAACTAACTAACACGCTATCTGAATTTTCTGTAGGTTTTTTAGAACTCGTAGCAATACCACCATTATATCCTAATAAATATTTACACGTCCATGAATAGATCTATTATCATTTTTTTTTCAATAAAACAAAATATTGATTAGGTTACAAACCATTAATTGTAGATTCTTGGTCATTATTTAGAGATTTTGCTCCATCTGCAGAAATGTAAAGTAAAAAGGCTGAATTATCGGTTGTTTCCTATGCAATTATTATTAAATATTTAAATATTATTCGATTGTTATATTAATTAATATATACAATTCTAACATTAACATACTTTAAATGCTGTAGCAATATAAACCATTAATTGACTAAATGTCGGTTTATAAAGGAGATATTTATGAGGGTTAACTCTACGGAATGCAGCTTTCTCATTGCCAGGAGGTGGTACTGGTGCTGTTGGTGTTGATTGTGAGTTTGTAGGTGCATTTGAATTTGGAGGCACAGTTGAATTAGTAGGCGCGTTTGCAATTGATGCTTGTTCATCAGTTATTTGATCTTCTTTTACAATTCGTTCATTTAATATCGGATTTTCTGTTGATCCCGATGGTTTATTTGGCACACTTTTAGGTAGTGGCAATGGTTCACGTTCTTATAAATAATAAAACATTGATAAGTATATAATCAAATAATATTAATATTAATATTATAAATATTAATATTAATTGTTGTTACCCAATGATTGTAATATATGATACATGTCAAGTGTTAATTCTGAAAATTTTATTTGGTTTTGATAATTTCCAACCAAGATTGCTTCCTGAAGTTTTAATTTGAGTGTACCATCTTTATCATGTCTTGGACTGCGCTCGATCTGTAAACGACGTGGAAAAGATAACATGTGACCATCTGGTGTCGTCGGAACCAGTTTCCTTTCAGCCTAAACACATATATGTATATGAATGATATGGCATATATAATAATATTCCCAAACAGCATATACGATATATGTGCAATTTAATACCTCTAGAAATGTACCAATTTCCTGTAGCACTAGTTGCCATTCCAACGAATCAACTGGTTTAAAATTTTTTATATAATCATCAACAAGACCGCTCAATTCATCCATAAGTTTTTGTACTATTTCTCTGTTGTTTAGCAATAGACACACAACAATAAATCTTGCATAATATCTTAATTTCTTGATCATTAATGCTGGACTAAATAATATTAATTTTGATTGGTCGTTAATTAATTTTACAAAAAAAAAGTTTTTTTAAATTTGTAAAAAAAAAAAAAAAAAAAAAAAAGTACTTTTTAACGTCAAGAATATCTTTAAAATATGCACGTTCTCTAATTGCTTCATAAAATATATAAGATTCATGAAGATAATTTGTTTCGCTTGTTCGTAAGCTTTAATTATAAATTATTCGTATAAACATAACTTCACGTTAATTAAAATAGAACAAAATTTTTTTAAGAAATCCAAAAAACTTAATCAAACATACTAGTAATGATAATAAAGTTGTCCGATCTTTGATGCAATTTCACCAACTTCCCAACGTTTAAGTCCATAATTGTCCTTATTTTCCAATACAAATCTATTTTTATTGCCATCATGATCATTTATTTATAAATAAATTTAAATTATATATAAATAACACACATATATTATGGCTTTTACCTGTTTTGTTGCTGGAATTTCCATAGCTATTATATACGTTATATTATAGTAATATGATCATTAACTTTTTCATAATTATTATTATTTTTTCAAAAAAGAAAAGTTTACCTTCGTGTATACTTCAAAAGTTCGTTGGAAATAAGGTTGCCATTGACGTCCACCAGTTGGTGGGAGATCTCTGTTTTTTATATATATGACAATGTACTTTTTTCCTGAGTTAATTTTTATCTTTAGTTGTGCTTTTATTTATTATTATTATTTTTTTTTACCTTAAACCAGCAAATAATTGTTGACTTTTTTCTAAAAGATATTGAAATTCTTCTACTATTCTTTGATTATTCCCTTTATTCAATTCAATAGTATCTTCAGTGGAATCTTTTTCATTATTACTAATAAGCTCAGTAGGAGCAGCAGACAAAGAAGAGGCATCTTCCATAACAACATCTTGAAGAGTTGATGCTGTCGATGATATTGATGTTGTTGATTGTGGTGGTGGCACAGCAGCATTAGAAGAAGGAGTATTTGCATTGGATGTTTGTGGTTCTTTTTGTTCTTCCATTTTATTTTATTTATTATTGTTATTAAATAGATTAATTACTGAAAACTAAAAAAATTTGTGGCACAGTAATAAGAAACGATTAAATTTTCAGGTTGAATTAAATCCCTTATTATTATCATCTAACAAAAATGTCGTTAATAACATAACAAACTTCTTACAACAATAAGTTATTCGCAAATTTAGCAGATAAAACAATTAAAACAACTATAAAGAAAAACCAAGAATGGAAGATAAATTAGATGAGAGCTTTTTCAAATTTATATATAGATCTGATCTTATTTATGAATACTACAACAATATGGATGAGAATCAAAGCTGTAAAAGCACCTCGGAGCATTTGAATAAATAATTTAAAAGGTATGTCACCTGAAATATGATGGAAGAGCATGGACTTCAGATGACAAACAAACTAAGTGCAAAAACTGTAATAGAGTTTTATCGTGGACCTACACACCACAGTTTGTCTTGACATATGACTTCAATTCTTAAAATAAATAAACATTGATGTTTGATATTGATTTCTTTTTATATTTCAGAAAAAATTTTATTTATTAACAATAATATTGTTAATAAATGGTTGATAATCCTCTTTCTTTACCTTTAATCTTTTAAGCTTTGTAAAAAATGGTCAACGCAGAATTAGAAGCACAATAAATCTATTTTGCATTTTGGATGAATGATATCCGTTTACCAAAAGAAATACATATCCGTTTGTGCCATTGAGAAAAGCCGGCTCTATTGAACATAAACATAATGTATCGATTTCACAGCCTGCTACTGTTCGGGGACATGTGAAAAAAAGGTTATAAAAATTCTGTGCCCATTGGAACTCCAATGCTAACCACTCGTCACTTTGAAGCCCGGACAACATGGGTACAGGCTCATTTTAATGACAATTGGAGCCATACAATCTTTACATATAAAACAACATTTGATATTTTTTGTAACAAGATTCACAGATGGCATAAAGGCCAGTTCGTAGATTACCAAAATCACAGCAAAAAGTAATGGCACGAGGAAGAATTTCACGCGCGTGAATTTAAATTGACATATATATTATTTATTATTATTGGAGATGTTACGAAAAAAATTGACCTGACAAAAAATCAAATTACTCAACAGATACATAAGATAATTAGATCCATTTAAAAGCCCATCAAATTACTTTATTGAATAAAAAAACTTGACCTTGCCAATTTTTTGTAAGGTAAAACCAGTGTTGGGAAAATTGTTGGAACTGGAACACTGGAACAAAATTTCCAGTTCCAGTGTAAAGACACCTGCTGTAAATTGGTCATTTGCAGCAATGGTAACCACCGTTATAAAATATTTACGGCTGCCGTAAATAAATACGGTTACCGCAAACAGATACGGCTGCTGCAAATTTTTATTTTTACACATAATTTCATTGTACAATTAATTGAATTCATTAATTACAATTCAAAAAAATTCAGTTATTTCTTTTTTATAACATTGCGTTACAATATGTAAATATAGAGAGTGCATTAATAAAGAAAATTTCAGACTCCCATGATCAATACCATTATAGAAATCGCAGATAAGTATTTAATATATACAAAACATAAGAAATATATGTGGTCGATTGGAGTGATGTCAAATATAATGGTGAGAAACTTATCATCTCAAATATTATGATATAGTTGGTGAGATTCCAATAGTAATTGTGAAGGCATAAATTATTGTGTTTTAACAATGATATCATTTGAAATTTAATATTTATCAATGCAATAGTAGATAATTGGTGTAGTTATTATTATACTATTAAGAGCGGGCGAAAAAAAAAAATAAAAGATCAATGAGTATAGAAAAGCATTGAATTGATTACCAACCATATAACGGAGCCAGTTTCAGTACGTTTCTTTGTATAACCAGAATCAGACAACATAATTCAAGAACTCTTTGATTTGAATTCTATTACTAACTCAAAGTTTACTATTAATTCAACAGACCAATGATATGATGTTTAGATTGTATCTCTGCAGTGGTATATACTATTACATTCAACTAATCATTCATCTCAGGTAAAGGGCGAGTTTTTGTCACCTCTTGAATAAGTATAGGGAAAAATTCAAATCCGAAAATAATTCCTTGATACCTAGACCATATAAATGGATTTTTATGTCAAGTAATTTTAATCACGGTAAAATTTTAGTCTACTAAATTGAATATATAATAAAAATATATATTATTAATATAAATTGTCCAATATAGCAAAAACAACATTTTTGGCTCGTTTAGCTTCAGGTGTTTTAGATGTTTCCGGTGGAGGTGATGATGCTGGTGATGGAGTTGAATATTTTCGTTTGGTTAATTGAATTAATTTATTGTCAAGCCATAATAAAATGTGCTGAAAAAAAGATGCAAATATCATGCTTAAAAAAAACATGCGAATCTAAAATGTTAATAGTATAAAAAGTACATACGCGAAGTCCGAGTAAACCTTTAATAAAATCTATTAGAAGGTTATTCATCTCTGAGAGAGTTTTAGGAACTATAAATGTCACCATCTCATTAAAATAATAAAAATTCGTTGGTGAATGATAAATCATTGAATATACCACCCATCAGCAACCTACCAATTTCATTATGATAAAAGTATAAAAAAAATTTATCCAAAATAATTTTGCATATTACGTACGATTTACTTGTATTCCAACTGTAAAAATACTCTCAATATCTTCTTTTTTAAAATGTAATACGTCGCGTAAATTGCCCAACATATCCTTCAGTTCTATTTTGATTCCAGTATGGTCTTAAATCATCATGACATTTCGGTATTTCCAAAATTTCTACATTGTAACTTCGAAGTTCTATAATTACATCTAATTTCGTTGAACTATTTCCAAATAAAGTGTACTCAGGATGGATTTTTCGTCTCTTTCTGGCATTTGTTGATTCAGAAATTTTTTCAATCCTAAAATATTTGATAAAGTTTGAAAACATGAAAAATTTTTATAAGCATTTAATCTCCATAAGAGACTCAAAAATAACATACCAAAGACTTCAAACATGCTATCAAATTTCTCGAGTAAATCAGTCATTAGGGAAAGTATTATTCTTGAGGTGTGGCCTCTTTCATGTAAAGGAATTGATAAATGATTGATTCCATGTCAAAAATTCTTATGACTATAAAAAAAAAAATATACCATAGACAACTATTAGCATTATTCTTAAAATAAAATAAACATATAATATGAACCTTACAAAAAATCAAGGAGGTCAAAACTGCATCTTGGGGATCTGCAATCTGTGCTGACTTTGATTTTAATTCTTCTAAATTTTAAATTTTTCTATAGCATAAATAATATTAGCCAACTTTGACCATAATATAATTTTTGTGAATATAAAAGTTACTTATTACCAGCACTAGCCCATTGTCATTTATAATTTTCAGCACATTGCTATATAGATGTTTAATCACGTGTGTGTTCTTTTTAGGGAAACGATTTATATTTTGAATTTGTAGAAATTGCATCAGCACTATACGTAATGTGTTCGATTTTATCTATTCCTATCCCTTTAATATTAAATAATGTATAGATGTTTTTAGCTTTTTGGGTTATTTTACGCAAATATTCTCTCTTAACACCAGGAAGATATGGTTCCATTTCATCATAAATCTGAGTTCTTGCCATTTGATCATTAATATTGTTTTTTGAACTAATATCTCTAACCTTTTTTTCGAATTCCTCACTATAATAATACCAACGTAAAATTTCTTTCTGACCGGTTTTTTAGCCTTTTCAAATAAATGAGCTAAACGTAGTGCAGAACCCAGAGCCAGGACATCCCAGTCTAGCATATTTTTAGTAATTCGTTTATCAGGTATAGAATTCGAAAGGCTTTTCTCGTAATAAACGCAGATAATTCACGCATTAAACCTTGTTCTACTTTTTGATTATAGGGAATTTTTATTTCGGGGAAATTGCACTTCGTGTCTGGCACTGTTGTACTAGCTTCTACTATTTCGGAAGAAACAGTACTTTGTGCCTCAGCTGTAGGATTATCAGAAGAGTGAGGTCTTTTTGTATTGATTCTTGAGTTCGAGAAGCGGAATCTTCGTTACTTCGTAATAGTTTCTTTTTCCTGTTTATATCTCTCATCATATTACCAACTTTTTCTTTTACTTTTCGATCCAGAAAATCATTGATCTCCTTATCTTCAGAATTTGGCGCGTTATCAAAAGATATATCGACTATCTGTTCAAAGATGTTATTAGAATTAACTTCGGGAGAAATGGAATCTTGTACCTGTGTCTGATCTAGATTTACGGAGTCAATGCTATCATCCTCATTAGAATGGCAATTAATTGGCGATGGAATAGGCGTTTGTGGAGTTTGTGTAGCGATGGGCTGATTTTGCTTTATGATCTTGTATTTTCGATCCTAAGATTAGCAATTTCTTCTATGATTTGTTTTAATCTAGTATTTTCGATCTCGAGTTTAGCATTCACTTGTATTAATAAATCTAATTCGGCTTCCATGTTTGCTAATATTTTTTTATATAAGAAATAGATTTATTCAAAGTATCGTAAAAATATCACGTGCGCATGAACACTTGTTCACGCCGATCACTTTTGCAAGAAAAAATTATCGATTATATGTATCTATACATTGAAATAAATCCCAAGATATACATGCAAAAAGTAAACGTGATTATGTATGCAAATTGAGCATCAGGGCCCAGATTTATTGATAAACTTTGATTTTGATTACATGTGCAAAGAGAATTCCATATTCATGACTAGTTACGATTCCACGCATTAATATAAAAAAAAACTATTATTTTTGACCATCCAGACTAGATATTTGCTTTATTTTCACAATCATCCGAGCAACTGGTTAATTTGTGGAGAGTCGGGAAATTCGCTCATAAATTTCATTTGTCCGGGTGGCGTGAATGGTTGCTTGCGTCTTTTAAAATCCTTGGCTAGTTTGTTAACTCGTCTCTGTAAATGAAAAATTTTGTTATAAATCTCAAAATGAAATGTTCATCATGCCAATTGAAACGATATATACATATATACCTCTAATGTGACGAAGTGGCTGAACGTTGATTCTACCAATGGCATTGAGGCCTTATCAACTGCCAGTTTAGTTGTATGGAAAGACCATAAGCAGTAAAATCCGTATTTAAGATCCATAAAAAAGGATCTAACTATATCGCCTAGGTAATGTAAATGTGTCAAATTTAGCAAGCATATATATATATGAAAAGACCAACAGTCCATCTTATATACATGTACCCGTGTTTATAAATAGCCCTACTTCACCGGGACCACCCTTTAAATTTAATTGTTGATTTAATGATTTCTTAGCCCTCAAATGTGCTTTCACGAAATCTTTCTTTTTCAGAAGCGGTGTACATCCAAGCGGTTTAAATTCGGAGACAAGAACCGGTATTTTGTCAACCACACACGTGAAATCGGGTCTTTTTCTAGTGCCTTTGACAGCACAGTTTAATTGGATACCATATTCTCTAGGAGATTGGCTGAATATAGGACACACATGGGGATACAATAGATTGCAGCAATGCAATTCCTCAGACATTTTGGACGGAGAAAGTGGAGGGAGATTGCGTCTAAAGTATGTTATTATTATTAAAATATAAAACGATTATAATTAGTCTTTTGATCTTCTTCTCAGAGCTAAGCAGAGATCAACTTACAGCTCATTAAACGTAGAAGCTGCAACCCTACTCAATTCTGTACTATCACTATCAGCGTAAATGTAACTATCCTCATCCATTAAGTGCTTTCTTATTGCTTCTTGAAAGGTAGTAGATATTGCTGATGGTATGATGGGCTGTTCGATCACAAACGGTTTTGCTTGAGTTATTGTATACCATTCTGTTTCAGTGAAATCCGGATAAGGGCATGGGCGTGCAAGAATAATAATAGACGCCAATGCTCTGAGGTAGAATTGTAAAGGATAAATTCAGTAAGAACGTAATTTTTATTTCTGACTTGTGATGTGATACCTACAGAATCTCGTATGTGTCGTTCCACGTCAACCCATCACTTTTCACTTTATCAATCACCTTTTGTTGGTATTGACGAAATCTCTGCGTAATGTTTATGTCTCCAACTTTCCACTGGAGCATATAAATAATATTAAAATTGGCAAAGGAACAGGAATCAAAATTCAACTCGTTACATACCTCATACAAAGGTATCATCTCCAGCTGCTTTGTGACATTTTCAAGATCAATTTCAAGTCGTTCATTAGGATCAGATGACTCCTCAATCTCATCATTAGTACTTGTAAAGGGAGCAGACGTGGAGAAGTTTGTTTTAATCTGCGTACACCCAAAAAAGAGGAAAAGATTAGAAGGAATTTTTGTGACTAAAAATTAAATAAAGTTGAATTCTACACTGACCTTTTTGTTGCTATTAGAGACAACTGAATTTATGGTATCATCATTCACTATTACTATATATTCTGGTGGACGCTTTCCGATATTTTCAAGATCTATCGATATATAATTTAATTTTGCCTGGTCTGTGATCATATGAGCCTCATTCCCCATTATAGAACGATCGACAGCAAACTGAGTCTGCAAACAAAAAGTTTGATATGATTATTGCACAGCTTGAAACTTAGACCTGTCGAACTTACCTTAGCTTGCTTTAACTTCGCCTCCAATAAATTATTTTTTGACGCGATTTTTTCATATTTAACATCATTCCAGAACAATTCTACATCTTCTCTCTGTGCTTGACGCTTGAGAAAGAGAAAGATTAGAAAGCTTAGTCTAGGAAGCAAAACAGGTCATCAGGGGCTGCGAATGAACGGTGCTCTTAGCATAGAGACAATGCCTCTAGCCTTCACCCAGACTTGAGATGGAACCCACCGGAGAAGTCCCCATAACTAGCCTGACAGTGCCTGGCCGCTTAGGTGGTTGTTTCGACTGTGCCCAATTCCTCCTCTATCCCCTCACTGTTTTACATCAATATTTTAAAGTAAATACAAGATACTTACAGTTAGCATTCCATTTTCATTCAGAGCTGAAGCAACCTCCCTCCACTTTTCATCTGTTACGTTTTCTGCGATATACGACACGAACTTAGATATCTCAGTATGCTCGGCTGACTTATTATATGAGAAATCATCTTTCACACGGCGGAATTTGAGGATTGAAATGAGATTGAATTTTTCAGGGCTCAAGGTGATTTCCCACCCTTCAAAGTTTAGATGTAATGTTTGTATCTTAAGGCAAGAGAATGACGAAATAAGAATTAAAAAAACATAAGATTCTAGTATGACTATGTCTCGTGTTATTATCTATTAAAAGCTCACCTTTTTGTAGAGATTATACATTGCAACTTTAAGAAGATATAAACGAAATTGTTGGAAATAATGTTATTATTATTAGCTGTTTTTGAAAGTGAAAAGAACACGGACGTCAGTTACACCAAGATGCTGATCATGATTTTGATGATTTTCCTCTATTTTAAATCCTCGTTGTATAAATTATTAGTATTAGTATATTAATATAGTTTGATGTAAAAAAATGCCAGGGATTGGAAATTCAAATCCAATCAGCGTAAATAGATTCGATATAACTGCCCTTTTAAAACGTTTTCTTTCATCTATTTCTACGTCTTCTTTTGGATCAGTTGTACGTGAAAATGAAATTATGTGAATTCGCGATTCACATATGTGAAATTCAAATTAGCCAATCAGAATTTCATCCCACTCCATAATATTTCAATTTCACATAATTTCAATTTCACATACAACAGATCTATAGAATGAGTATAATGTAGAGGAATAAAGCAATGTGAATGTATTTACACCAAGGATTATCTTAAAAACAAAAGTATATACACGAGGGAATTAATCGAATTTGGTTAATCGCACAAATAAATCATGATTATCTTTCTGTGTATCGAGAATCTAAAAATAATTTTGTTGCACAGCCCCATTGATGTCACATGACACACCCAATTATCTGATCAAATTTGAATTTCTTCTTTACGATTAGAAAAATATGGAAAAGACACTCAACTATTCATACCCACGTTTAAGAAAGATCCCGTAAATATATGTATGAATTTCCTTCCAATTTTTACGAAGCAGTACGGTCAGGGAATTTATTGGAGATAAGTACATGCTTATTTACTTTAAAGAATGTCAAGGAAGTTAGAACGCAATTATAGACTCGTATTCTCAGAGGTTCAGTCAATAAATTTCGAAGGTATAAGATCAGTAAAATGTTTGTGGGAAATCACGAAAAGCTGTAGAATAATAATGTTATATAAAACGAGATGGAAAAATGGAGATTTAGACGTGACATGTATGCCACTGGCGGCGCAGTAAGGAATCATTTACAGAAAGAAATAGCTTGATTTCGATAAAATAATATGGTTTATTATTAAGATAAGTGTACATCTTTATGAAAATTACCATCTTTTTTTGGTGGCTATGCCACAGCTTTTTGAGCTAAAATTTCAACGATTACATAATCTATATTATCTTGAAATTGTTGAGGCAGAAAACGTTTTTATACCTCTTATTTTTTCTTTGCCAATACTAACGAATGTATCGTATATTTTTCCTGCTCTTTCCTTTCTTTTTTTTAATGCATCATTGGTAATATCATCAGGGAGTTGTTTTTGAAGTTCATTGTTAACGAGTGTACAGTTCTTTTTCGTTAATTGCGAATATGTAATGTGGCACAGTAATACAAAATTTATTTCGCGTAATGCGTTAAATTAAAACAACTTTACTTATATATATTATTGCTATATTACTTATTATTTATATTACTTGTTATTTATATTACTTATATTATCATTATATTATCATTTGTATTACTTATATTATTATTATTTATATTATTTTCTTATGTATATGAGTTACAAATTAAGTGCTGCAAGCTTTCCAGGAAGTTCTAAGATATTATTATTATTATGATTGATAATAATTTATTTATTAATTGTAATATTATATTATGCATTTTTGTATAAAAAGATAAGCTTTCCGTAATTAATAAAGATAACTTGTATTTTTAATAATAATTAAAACAATTATATAGTATTTTGACGTAAGGAAAAAGGGTTTCCTTACAGAATTAATAAGATTAAACATACCTTTTTACGAAATTACTTATGAATTTATTACTTTATCATTTTTTTTAAATGATAACGATAATTTAAATGTTGTACATTGTACAGTATATGATGCACACCATAAATTAAAACGATGCACATCTCATAAATCAAAATGACTTTTGAATTGTTTGGCTTGCCATAGAATTGACTCTTTTTTTTAAAATCCAACGTGTGGATCACATAATACTTCAAATTTATGATCCGCACTGTATATTTTATTTTTTTGAATTTTTATTTTTATTGTATGTCTGTCTGCCTGTAAAATGAGACATTCTAAAATTTCCATTACTGCATGCCTGGGCATTTCAAAACTTCCATCTGAAAATTTTGTAATGTTTCATAGTCAGACATACAATAAACCAGTTATTGAATGCAATAATCACGTCAAGAATGACCAAGAAATCGAGACCGGTCGTTAAAATATTGTTACTCGCGTGCCACATTCTGCATGCTCCACATGCAATAACTCATATATATTAAAAATCATGTGACAGATATAGTAGTAGTGTGATCCATATGACAGACGGATTTATCATTTTTACATAGAAACAGTTTCACTAAATCTAAATAGTAGTATCTTTGATACGGGTGATTTTTGCGGCCTATTTATCATCAACGATTTTTTCGTTATATGATTTGTTTTGAAGGAATAAAACAAGATTTGTTGAACTTTAGCCAACGCTCGAGCCACAACAGATCTTCAAAAAAAAGAGAATTTTTTACATAGTAAATAATAAATAACATTGATTGGCGTAGATATAAAATATTAACCCAAAACCTTCTAAATGGAGACTACCTCTATTGAAAAATCCTTTTTTGATTTTCATATTGTTTGCCATTTTTTCTATTGTTTTTATTGTTTTGCATAAATTTTTACATAAATTCTAGTGTCATACATGTACATGTTTACATAACAATCTAATACTAACAAACAGTTTTAATTAATTATAATTGGTAAATGTGTCCTGAAATTTTATATTGAAATTCCTGATTAGTGAATGATCTGCGAATTACTTATTGTGATAATTTATTTAGTTAGATTGATAGCATTAGTATCTTTGATTGTAATAAACAATTACAACAACAGAGGTTCTTCTTTCATAAATCAAATAAATTTATTTGAATAAAAAAAATACTTACAGTACAATATATATACTTATTTTATTTGTTCATCTATATATTTCATTATATTGATATGACTTCAACAAATCAAGATCAAGATCGTGTTCCTTTGCTATCGATAAATTCATTATCTCAAATTTATGATTCAATAAATTTACCGGATCAAATAATTCGATATCAAGCATTCATTCAAAAATTTCAAAGTCTATACAATAAACAGCCAAGTTTTATTGTAAGATCACCTGGAAGAGTCAATATCATTGGGGAACATATTGATTATGCAGGGTTCGGTGTATTACCAATGGCAATAAGCCGTGATTTACTTATTGCTGTTTATGTGGTTGAAGATGAGAGTTCTGTGAAATTAGCTAATGTTGATAATGAAAAATACAAGACAAGGACTTGGGAATTTGAAGGTGATAACAATAAGATTGTAGAAATTAAACTTGAAGATGGTGTAGTTGAATGGAGTAATTATTTTAAGTGTGGATATAAGGTAATTAATTTGTATTAATTTATTTTATTGAAAAAAAAAAATTTTTAAAATGACTTTCTAAAAAAATTTTTTTTTAAAAAAAAAAAAGGGAATAATAAAATATCTTGGGTTAGAAAAACCCAAAGGGATGTATTGTCTAGTCGATGGAAGTATACCACCTGGTTCAGGATTATCAAGCTCGTCGGCTTTCGTTTGTTCTGCTGTTCTAGCAACAAGCTATGCGAATGGTACTGAATTAAGCAGGAAGCAAATCACAGAAATTTCAATAGATTCAGAAAGATTAGCTGGAGTAAATTCAGGAGGGTATGTTTATCTCACTCAAAGAAAAACAAACATAATATAAAATTTTATAAATTTTCATATTTACATATACACGCTTGCTTATTACATATATTAGAATGGACCAAACTGCATCAATTTTTTCATTATTTGGCCATGCTCTTTATATCCAATTCTTACCTGCTCTAACCGCCACTCCGATAAAATTACCATCCACTAGTCCACCAATGGCGTTTATTGTTGCCAATTCATTGGTAACTGCCGATAAAATTGCCACAGCTCCTACTGGCTATAATCTTCGAGTTTTTGAGACAAGAGTGGCTGCTTATCACTTGGGACTATCTTCATTTGGAAAAGAGTGTGACATACTCAAGGAAGTTAGTGATTTGTATACTGGGCATTATGAAGTTTCAGCGATTAATCTCAGAAAGTTATCAGAGTATGTTGATCAAATCTATGGAAAGAAGGATGGTTATACAATTGAGGATTTAACAGAATTATTGAATTTGTCAATCGATGAAATTTATGATAAATTCCAAGGCCAGCATCAAGTTAAAGCTGAAAAATTCCAACTGTATAAAAGATCCAAGCACGTGTTTGAAGAGGCATTGAGAGTATTAAAATTTTATGAAATTTGTAATAGTGGTGGCAATTCTGAGAAATTGTTTGAAATATTGGGTGGCTTGATGAATGAAAGCCATCAAAGCTGTAAAGATTTATTTGATTGTTCTTCCGCAGAATTAGATGAATTGGTTGGTATATGTCTAGCTGGTGGCGCTTATGGTAGCCGATTAACTGGTGCTGGTTGGGGAGGTAATTTATATGTCTATATATATATATATATAATATTAATTATTTTAAAAAGAAATAATAATAATAATTTAATTTGATAATTTATCTTGTCAAAGGGTGTACGGTATCTTTAATCAAAGAAGACCAGACAAAGAGTTTTATTCAGTACGTCACAGAAAATTATTATAAAAAAAATTTTCCAAATATCACAGAAAAAGAAATAGAAGATGCAATATTTGCTACCAGACCTGGAAGTGGCGCTGTAATAATCAATGATTTATTTTCATAATTTGATTTGAATTTTGAATTTGTGATTTTAAATGTATATTTGTAGTGATGTGTCAGCCGGTTAAACAGCTTACTATATTTATTATATCATTTCAATGTACTAAATTATACATTAGACAAGCCCAGATATTTATTTTATTTTTTTAAACATAAATATATAAATTTGTTATTATTTATTATTATTTCTACAAGGGAAGAAGACTAACTAGATATATGAAACTCTCACGTGACCTTAAATTAATCGATCAAAATTTTTTTTAGGAATACACCCAAGTTTCGTTTATACTTAAACCCTGCCAAATTTTGTGATATAAAATATAACACAAATACTAAATAGCAATAGTTATCGTTTATAGTAATATCATGACATTTAAATTTATGTCCTCATATCCTGGCGTGAATCAATTAATAACGCAATGCAAAATGGCAATTTTGCAATTTAGCCAATACAAGCAGCTAAATTCCTTTATTACGTAGTAAGATCCACATGATATTGAGTGTGAGATGCCCTAATTAAATCAAAATTAGGTGATGTTACAGAGAGTTTTTTTTTCTTGCTAAATAAAAAAATATTTTTTTTTATATATTCTAAGGAAATTGAAAAAAGATTGCTAATAGAAAAACTTTATAAAACAAATGAGATAGGGAAAAAAGCTCTCTGTAGAAGACTTAAACAATAAAACTATAAAAGTTTTGTTTAATTTTATTATGTAAAAAAAAAGTTATCATGGTTTAAAGTTATTCAATTTATTATTAAATTTTACCATAAAAATTTACATTGTAACTGATAAATTAATAGAAATTTCCTTTTTATAATTCTGTCAACATTTACAATGTGTTGAAATATATGATAAAGATACTAAAAAATCCGCACATAATAATTTGTTATATATGTTTGATGATCAACACTACAACATGATATGCCTGCCATTCATTCATTAAGAAGTTTGTTGTCATTCAATCTAAAAATAATTAAAATTGATGTATCAATTGCCTCCAAATGAATCAGACTAGACAGAACCTCGGAAACTACATAGATGGGTTGCCCGAAATCAATATGTAAAAAATTTAATGAAGTGTTGAGGAACTGTGTATTCACGTGGTACTGTAAATGAATTAAACAATGAATCGGATAGTTTGAGCAATCAGGGAAATTTTCCAAAAAATCCGTAGAAAGTTTTTATTAAGGTTTATTATGGAACCGTTCTTTGAACTTTATCCGTAAACCGAGATTTTTAATTAGTATCCGCTAAATCGAGGCAGTCTATTATGTTAGGGAACCTCGCAGTTATTTGAATTTTCGGATAAAATTGTAATTTAAAAGTTTTAAAAATAAAATTGCTTATAACTAGAATAAATCAAATACTCATTTCAACCAATCTACCGCCCATGTACAAATAGGTAGTATATAGTACCGAATAGATGTAGAGTGAGTGAATACGGGAAAACGGGGAAATACACTTTTCCGTACCTAGAAATATTAATATGGAAACCGGTGAGGAATATTTTTTGATCTGGACAATAAAAAAGAACCATAACAATAATAATAATGTGAAATAATGTCTTGAGAAAATCCTATATTTCATGGAGTTTTCGAAGCTTTAAAAATAAATATAATAAAATATTATTATGTGGATATGGTTTCTATGCCAAAATGATCTACATAATAATAAAGAGTTACGTATTGATGATATAGGAGTGACCAAATTTGTCTTTTTTACACTATAGTCCTTCTTTATTGTCTAAGTCCTTTCGTACATGAAAAATGCATTTTAATACGGGGGCACGTAGAAAAATCTACCCCGTACCGTTTCTGTATGTTTAGGTTCATTTTTCATATATTAATATTAATATATACAGTATATTCCGTATGTATTCAATACTAGTGCTGGTGCCTATTTACTATTTATCCAGTACATAATTTTTTATAAGGTGAAGGTTAAATGAAGTGATTGAGAAAAATGGTGGTAAGATAAGCTACTAAGTAGTTTTAAGTGAACTTATTTATCAAATTATAAAGAGCATATCTATAAATTTTCATGTACTGTTAGTATTAGCTTTTTTTCGTTGCACAATAAATAAAAATTCCATTCCGAAAACTTTTTTCGTGCACTGTAAGAGAAAAAGACAACGAATTTGAACTACTGGCACATGAATTCACGCGAATTGATTATTATGAAAAAACATACTTTAAAGAATTTCATGGATTATGATTATGAGACAGCAAGTTTAATAGTATTTTAAAAAAATTGAAAAGCACGAGTCATATATGAATTGATCGACGAACTTTGAATAAATCAAAATTATATATATGAAAAATAATATATACAGATTTTTTTTTTCAAAATTCAAATTCTATCCCCTCGATAATTTCAAAATAAACTTTTATTAAAAATTGGTATGAAAACAGTCTGTTACCAATATGGACTTACTTTTTTGATTTTTTTGTTTGCAAAAAAGTTTTACTATGCTTAATTATAAAAATTACATTAAAAAATGGTTTAAAATAAAATAATAAAATGAGAACGAAAAATCCAAGTCCATAATGTGAAAGACAAAGTTTTAAGCTTTCATTTGATACCATTTTGATGACTATGGCTAAAAAATTTGTGGACTGAATAGATTTTGAAAACACGCGTAATTTTCAAATGATTTGCAAGGGCTATTTTAGACTGATTTGTGTAAAAAGTAAAAAAACGTAAATCTTTATTTATTACGAATATTTTCAAAATCTATCTAGTCCATGAATTCATAAAAATAGTATCGAATGAAAGCTTAAAACTTACTCTTTCACTTTATTGGCTTAGATTTTTTGTTTTTGTTTTATTGTTTTATTTCAAAGTATTTTTTAATATAGCATTTATAATTGAGCATAGTAAAACTTTTTACAAACAAAAAAATCAAAAAAGTAAGCCAATTTTTTCAAAATGTAGGTCATAGATTATTCTCATACCAATTTTTGGCAATGGTTTATTTGATAATTATGGAGAAGATAGAATTCGAAATTCGTTAATTTTTATTATTATTATTAAATCTCTACATATTAATTTTTATATATAATTTTGCTCTACATAGTTGATAGACCACCTAATGGCGTATCATATCATAAATTAAAATAATGAATGTCTAATTATCGGAATTAATGTTAATGAATTTATTACAGTATTATTAGTATTATTATTTAAACATTTAAAAAATTCTTATGATCGTTGTTCTTCTGCGAAAGTTCTTTATTCACTATCATATAAATAACTTTTTCAAAAGATTTATTATTTCTCTTATAGTCATAGAAATCATTCGGTATAAGCTGATAATAACTGGTCGTTCCGAAAAAGTATTTTTGATAAGTTGATGCGACGATTATAAAGGATGCGATAAATGTAGCAAATGTAATGAATGCAACAGCGAGCCATAAGGTTCTTGTGAATATTGAAGAACAACGCCACCAATGACGTATATAACTTTTTAATTTATTTCTGATGAAGGAGGCGAAGGAGTAGTCTTCTTCAAGTAACAATATTTTTTCAATTCTTTCTACATGTATAACTTCTAAGCCGCCGACTTCCGCAACAGTCATAGATATTATTATACGATTAATTGCTAAACCGTTAATATTCGCCTGAAATGATTCTATCGAAGAACTTATTCTAACAGTTATATCATAATTATCAAAGGAACCATCAATTTCTTCTATACTAAGATCAGCTGGAATGACTTTTGCTTTAATTAGCTGTGATTAAAAAAATGATTAATAAATTTTTCTTGACGAATATCTTGATAAATACATTTTTATAATTAATTGAACACTAAATTTACCTGAAATGAAGTTATTCCTAGTTTCATTGATGCATTATTTACTATTAATTTATTATCTTTTACTTTTAAATTAATTGCAATGGCAGAATTATTTTTGAGCGTTCTATCTACATAATTGAAAGGAACAATAAATCTTTCTTTCATGCGAAAATTTGTTAATGGTAATGATGATGGGATATTTTCAATCGATGTAGGATTTGCTGAAACTGTTATTTAGAAAGGAAAGAAAAAGAAAATGCCGATTAATAAAAGATTTGTAATTTTCCACGGAAATTAATTGATTAATTAATATTAATTAATTACCAATTGCAAAGGTAAAAACGAAGACTAAAAATAATAGGTTAAAGAATTTTGAAGTCATTTTTTATATGATCAAAGTAATGTGTGAATTTGTGAAATTCAATTCATTTATAAAGAAAAATAGTCATTTATATATATTTCAAATCTAAAAATAGCTACACACTTCACGTAAAGAGAGAGCCTGACATCCGTTTATAACTTTAACTGTTACACTAACCCATTACTATTTCTATGCTGTACGACATTATAAATTCAACTTTTAATGGTAGTAATGGTGTGTGGTAACCAAATTATCATACTAATATTACAGGGTAATTCCAAATATGGAATTCGAACCTGGAAAAAAAATTGGTCGATCAATTCACATATGTTGCAAATGAGTTAATATTTAACGTGAAAATAAAATTTTTTCAAAACAAATTCTGATTATCGCTTCAAACGAATATCATCTATGATAAAATGGGGGAGTTATGCATTGTAAATGACTTAAAAATTTTTTATGGTTAGGAGGTCATCGTCGTCTAAATGCATCAAAAAAAATTGTGCAACTTCAACTATTTTTCCTTTTTTTAATATTTTATTTAGTTTTTTTCATTCCTATTTAGTAAAAAATCTTCTAATCACGTGATTGTGGCCGGTTCAAAAGACATGTCGTATTTTTTTGTAAACAAACAATGCATTAATATTAATATGACAACTAGCTATTTATTTTATTATATACAAACAAACACAGTAACAGATAATTCTATTATCAGTTACGAGGTAATGATTCTTCAGATAGACAAGAATTTAAATAGGAAAATAGTAAGTAATAATATGTTTGGCGTAATACAAATTTTTATACGTTCATTCGAATTACTCGTTTATTTCGAATTATTCATTTTATTCGTTTATTTGAATTATTAAATTATTTTGTTTATTCTAATTGTTGGTTTTATTCGTTTATTATTATTATTATTATTATTATTATTATTATTATTTGAATACTCGTTTACTCGCTTATCCAAATTATATATTTGTTTTGTTTGTTATTTGTTTATTCAAACCATTCGTTTTATATATTTGTTTTATTCGTTTATTCGAGCAAAATTTATTTGAATAATGTCATGAATACAATAATTATTGAGTCATGTGATTTTATAATCCCGTGACACCAATGAATCTCTATTTTGGGGATTTGAAGATTTGGCAGTGTGACGCAGCATTTGATATCTTCAGATGGCGTGCACTACATGTTTTACATATCAAGAAAAAAAGAAGACATAGTAAATCGTTTATATGCAAAAGATATTAATTTAACAATTTAATATTAATTTTAACATGCATTGTTAATAATAATAGGAAAAGGAAAGCAAAGAGCAAGTCCTGGTCGAAGACTTACTCCTAGCATTTCCTCTGAATCTTCTGAATATATTTGTTTCGCTAGTAGGAAGTTGAATGGATTCTAACAAAGATTGAGTGACAGGTTAATAAACTCGAACAACTCTTCAGTATAGTTGAATTTGTATGATAACTTTATGATTATAATTTGCATCTATTGATTGTTTTTTTTGATAGGCTCGTAAAGCGGTTAAAAATACACATAATACATAATTTTGGAAGTTGTATGACCATTTAATAAAGCTCTCGTCAAATTTCCTTCATAAATTTTTTTATTATTATTTCTTCAGTGAAAAGATCCGCATATCAAACCGTGATTTTTGTATGTAACCTTTCAATATCTCGATTTCAATCAATTATATAGAATTTTCAACATATCCGAAATCGAAATCGAAATCGAAATCGAAATCGAAAATAGAAATTAAATTAGAAAACCAAATTCAAAAATCGAAATCCTGATTCAAATTCTAAAATATTGCTTTTGAATTATGTCGAGCAATTTGATTCTCAAAATCTTTATTTGCCAATCCTAAGAGTGCTGGAAGACCTCTCGACATTGTTTGGACACATTTTAATAAAGATATCCTGGCAGCATGACTCCACCTGTATATATTGTAATGATAACGGAACAAAAGAAAGCCCACATTTGATACAAGAATATTTGGCGAATAGATGTCCAAATGCACCTATTGAAATAAAACAATTGTATCTTGAAATTATTTTACACGGGTATCAGAATGATGATTTGTTGTATGAAACAAATTCTTTGACAACTTCTAATTCTTCAAATGTTCTTGAAACAAGGAGTTTGTCTAACAATAATAACCAGAAGGGATCGAATGATTTTTATGATTCAATAAATATTACACCTCAAATTAATTTTCGATTTCGATTTTGAATTTCGATTCGAATTTCAATTTCGGATTTCGCCAATACTAAGGACCTTTCGATTTCGAAAACTTAATTTTTCGAATTTTATTAAATGACTTTCGCGCCATCATGGATTAAGATCATCATTAATTATCCAATTTCTCTGCATCATCTTTTACAAGGGAAGAAAAATACCAAACAGAGGTGCAATTGACAGGTCATGCAAACCAGGCTCCTCCTTTAACGTTTTCAAATCGTTTGAATGATAGTTGCTCATTCAAAAAAAAAAAAAATAGCAAGAGAAATAGGGACATGTTTAAAAAAAATAATGAAGAGTTCCGACGATATCAGCCAATCGTGGAGAAAGCCCGCTATTGATTTTAATGTTCATCTGGTTTAAAGTGGGATTTTTGCCATATAGAATATTGGATTTCCACCAAAGCATCTTTGAGCTATTTTAAGGATATTTTGTCTATTATGACTCTCTATTTTCTTCAAAAAAGATTGCAACTGCCATTTTTATTAAACAAAATTTGGTTCTTGTACTATGACAAAAATTGGCCCATATTGAGTTTTGTGATTTGGCACTATGTATGTATGTAACGGTATCAATAATGAACCTCATTGATATTATTATGATACATATTCTTATGAAAATATGAAAATAACAAGAGTGTTCAGTTGTTAGAAGAATGTGAAGTTTATAATAAATTATCAATGCCATTGCCAGTAATAGTAAAGCAAAATAGCAACAATGCATTGGCAATTTGATCAAGTTAAAAGGGCTAATTTGTACTGTAATACTATGAAAAATGTTAAATTGGTAAGCATGCCTTGCCTAATGGTAACATGGTGATGACAATTCCTATTTGATGCTAGATAAGGTATTGATTTTAGTTCCAATTATATAGCAAAATTGTCTTCATTATCATTATTAATAAATTTAGAAAAAAAAATCTTTCTTTTTATTATATATTATACAACTCCAATAGATATAATCAATGCAATATTACCAATTTAATTAATTAATTATATAGTTTATTTTTTATATTATTATATATTGAATTCTATTGGTTCTTACATATAATTATTTATTAATCCATTTTTGTTATTGAATTAAATTTATAAATTTCATCCAATTTAATAAATCTATTTTAAATCATAAACAAAACTAATAATTAGAGAGGATTTGGTTTGACTACTCCTTTAGATCCAAAGAAATTGTCTAATATTGGAATTAATTGTTGTGCAACTGTGAAAGAGAAAACCAATTTAGGACCAACGACAATTATTTTAGGTGTTATTCCTTTAAAGAATGCACTTGTGCCTAAAAAACAATGATAATAATATTATTATTAAAATTCAAAAAAAAAAAAAAAAAAAAAGGTAAAATTTTAATTTTTAAATTATTAACCTTCTTTGAGTATCATTTTGCGAATAATTTGTGTCCCAGTTTCAGGTGAATCAAAAGGTCTATTTTGGATACGAGTTTTAACTACATCAAGTGGTTGAGCCACACTGATAGAAGCAATAGCACCACCAATTGATGCACAGAAATTTTGAAAAAATGTTGCTTTCGAATAATCTTTTAATCCAAACAAATATTCTTTAACAAAAGCTGAGCCACCAAACTAACATTTAATAATAATGATTATCATAAAATTTAATTAATTGTTGTTAAATTTTAATATAATAATAATATTTTTAATATTATGATAATATATGAAATAGTTTTCTTACTAATGCAAAACTTCCTGGTGCATTACGTGCTGCTGTCCAAAGGCCACCCCTGAATACATATTTATAAACCAATTAATATTATAGAGTTGTACTTGGTCATATATAATTAGTCAATTATTATATGAGTAGATTATTTACCTATAAAGTCCAAGTCCTTCATCCCAAAAAATTTTGAAAATGTTTCTGCCTTTTAATGTTTCAGGATTTGTTTGACGTTTAATTTTCAATACATCTAATGGTAAGAGTGCCACCTCTCCAATTCCAATTAAACTATCAATTAATTATTAATTAATTTAGAATTAATTTTAAAATTAAATTCACCCTACTAATTACATCATCGTATCATCCATTCCAAACATATTTACCTTCCAGCAGTGGCATGTATTATGGTTTTACCACTTTTTTCACCAAATAATTTATAGAATGCATCTCTGTGATTGCTGTTGATATAATCTCTTACATATGGTTGACCACCATATTTATAAATTCTTTGAAGTACTTTGTATCCACCTGCATAACCTAACCCTGGAAACAATGATGTGTATTTACGGAAAAGAGTTGCGGAATGCTTATCCTATAATAGTAATATTATTTTATTCATTAGGAAAATTTTTGTTTGTGCAAAGAAATTTACTGAAAAAAAAAATGAACTAGATTTTTTACTTTAAATATGGCTTTCTCTAAATTATTAAAACCTTGATGTAATGGTGCACCAGGTATAAAAACCTAATAAACAAACAAATAAGCAAAGCAAAACGATCAAAAATAGTCTTTTATCATTTCATTCCCCATAAAAAAATCCAATATTTACTTTTTGTTGGTTAGTCATTAAACGTTTTGCAATAGTATCAACAGGATGAAATATAAATAGTTCCAATATTCCTGAAGTTCCAGAGCCCAACAAACGAGCAAGTCCTGATTCCTTTTGTTTTCCTAAACTAGCTGGTGGCGACATATTATTATTATTATTATAATTATTATTATTATTATTATTATTATTATTATTATTATTATTATTAAATTTTTTTTTATTTTTTTTTTTTTAAAAAAAATTTCTTCAAAAAAATTTTATTGTTTAAATAACTATTTTTTTTATTTTAACAACAATAATGGGGAAAATTCATCTTGTTAAACTTGAATTTTTTATCAAAGATTTTAATACATAGATTTTTCTTATCATCATTTTAATATGAATAATCAAAAAAAAAAATCAGTAAACAAATATACATTAATATTACAAATATATAATGATGATTATTGTTTGTTTTGCTTGTGTAACTACTATAATTGCTAGTTAGAAGAAGAAGTCATTGCTAAACTTGCATCGCAAGTCCAATAGATTCGAATATACAATATCTTGGAAAAAAGTTATTTGGATTATCTTTTAATTAATTATATAGATGTTTTAATTGCATGTGAAATTGAAATTAGCCAATCAAATGTAGGTGCGAAATTCCTTTTAATTTCATAAAAGAGAAAATTATCAATATTAACACAACCTTGAAAGTTGATTGGCATTCTTTCTGCGAGCAGGGCTGGAAATAGGATCTGGAAAAAAAAAAGGAAATTTCTCTTCCGTTTTCAAAGATATAGGCACCAAATCTGCATAAAAGATAGTATATGCATCATAATTTAGAGCTATTACTATCTATGTAAATATATCAGTGATGTGAAAAAACTCATTTGAAATACATAAAATTTCTTTCTTTGTCATAAGACTTCTATCTATCACAACTTTCAAAAAAATTGTATGAAATAAAGATTCTCTCACTCCATAGCACTGTTCTCCTAATCAAAAACCTCTAATAATTTTATAAATGTGATAATTTTCCAAAAGCCTTGGAAATTGAAAGTTTGTAATACTATGTAGTAAAAACGTTGATAAAACATACTATTTTCAAATTACTGCTCCTCTTCCGTTTTCAAAGATATGGGTACCAAATTTGCATGAAATATAGTATATATATTGTAGTTTAGAGCCATGGAAAGCTTTGATAGATGTAAAAATACCAATGGCGTAAAAAACCACCATTGAAATACAGAAAATTTCTTTCTTTATCGTAATACTTTTATCTATTGCAAGCTTCCCAAAAAAAAAATATATACATGAGCACTATTCTAAAAACTCCCCTCGACTAAAAACCTCAGGTATTTTCACAAATAGAACGATTTTCCAAAGCCTTAGCAATTGAGATTTCTAATAAAACCGTTCCATATAATAAGTTTTGCTCTTTTTTTAGAAAAAAAGGGTATCCATAAAAAAATCCGCAACAGTCAAACCTCGATAAGCCGAACAGATTTTCGCTTTATAACGACGCAAAACTGGGTTAACAAAATTGATAAAATTATCTTGTTTAAGATTTATTGATGATTATAAACCAATTTTTAAAAATTCGTAAAGATAAAATTCGGGTAAAATTCATTTATAATTACCTTAAAAGTAAATATCTACACACGAATAGTGATAATACCAATACTAATTCATCATTGCAAATTTTGATATTTTTGTGATTCTCAAAAGTTCGGCTTATCGAGGTTGACTGTATATGGATTTACCTTATTGATCAAATACCAGAAAGTTGTGTTTTCAACAGTTCTTAGAAGTTTGATAACCTCTTATCGATATATATTACAAGTAGATGAAGAAAACTTTTGCTTTTGTTAAATATGAAATTCGAGAGAAATTTCTTCTTTATTAATTTGATACAGCTCTTCTTATGCTGTTTCTACCAAATCAAATAATCTCAATTTTAGTTAATGGTTGTTTTTGACCTTCAAGGAATGTTGTGGTTGTCACATCACTACTACCCAAACTCAAGGTACATAATAATAATTAATTTTTATTTATTAACAATAAGTGGCCATACTACTACATGGTGGCGAAAGTCATTTAATAAAATTCGAAAATTAAGTTTTCGAAATCGAAAGGTCCTTAGTATTGGCGAAATCCGAAATTGAAATTCGAATCGAAATTCAAAATCGAAATAGAAAATTAATTTGAGGTGTAATATTTATTGAATCGTAAAAATCATTCGATCCCTTCTGGTTATTGTTGTTAGGCAAAGTCCTTGTTTCAAGAACATTTGAAGAATTAGAAGTTGTCAAAGAATTTGTTTCGTCCAACAAATCATCATTTTGATACTTGTGCAAACTATTTTCAAGATACATTGCTTTATTTCAATAGGTGCATTTGGATACCTATTCGCTAAATGTTCTTGCATCAACTGTAGACTTCATCATCATTACAATATATACAGGTGGAGCCATACTGCCAGGATATCTTTTGTACTTTTATTAAAATGTGTCCAAACAATTTCGGAAGGTCTTCCAGCACCCTTAGGATTGGCAAATAAGACTTCGAGAATCAAAATTGCTCGACATAATTTAAAAACAATATTTTAGAATTTGAATCGGGATTTCGATTTTGGATGTTGAAATTCTAATTGGTTGAATTCGAAATTATTTTCGAAACTAACTCATTTTGCCATCATTTATGAAAATGACAGACCACAATGTAAAAAAGTAGTAACTACTAATGGCATCAAGAAATATTCTATTCATTCATCTCATTCAGTACGTTCAACACACTCACTCAGTACATTCTCAACCTTAAAGTAGAGTGGCTTCTCCTCGTTCTCTTTCGCACCATCACAAGATACTTTATCATATACAGCTGAAAATAGATATTAAAGAAAACATAATTAGTGCACGGTTGTTGTTGTTGCTGTCTAATTTAATATAATAAAAAACTAACTAAACACAACAATATTGCTATCGTCAATATATCCTTAACAGACACTTTATCGCCAATTTTTTATCATCTAATCTCATTATAAAATATGATGATGGTTGATTTTCAATCCTTCTCTAGAAATTTTGTCGTTGATTTTCTTTAATAAATTTGATAGATCCATTAAACCATTGACGAGTTTTAAGATATATAATTCGGAAAAATTTTCAACTTGGACTAAAATATTCAATTGCTGTTGAAGACTTGGAATCTTACCATAAAAGAAACAATATTACCTTCTTTCGGGAAAGATATTCACATACAAAAATTTCAATGCTTGGTGTGCTTGTATCTAAAAACCATCTGATAATTGTAATTCAATAGTTTAATTTGAATTTATCAATAACAAATAGTTGAAGTGATTTTAAAGAAAAATCCTCAGAACTGCTGGTATGTTTGAATCTTCAGGATCTATATTGACATTATATTATTAATTATATTGAGAGAATAGTTAAAACAATGATTTCCAAAATTATTTGTAAAATTTTCTCAATACATGCAACTCTATCAATTTCTAACGAATTTTAATGATCTTTTTTTTATTTTGTTTGTTATACTTTGAATTCTTTTATGAAGTTTTCAAACAATTTATTATTATGTGGAATATTTATAGGACAAAAAAAAGTCTCAGGAACCAGCATTTTTAAACGATTTTAAGAATTTACATATTACCCAAAAACTATATTTTATTAGGTTACAAATATCAATGAAAATATGCAAACTCGAACGTTTGAGGTGTAGTTATTTAGGGCAAAAATTCATGTTTTCTTACTAGTTTTCGAGTATTTTTGTGTAAAAACAAACACACGGAAATGTCACGGAAATTTACATGATCTACATTTTGTCCGGATACTTTTGGCAGGTGAGTGTATATCAAATATATATAAAAAAATTTTTTTTTAAAGTTTGCAGATCACAAACATAAAAATCCGCACCAATTATAATTTATTATTATTATTATGAACAAAATGGCGATCTTTATTTATATTTTGTTTTCTTTTTTAATATTAAAAAATACGGTAATTCTTACAAAATTTATCAAATCAAAAAATGTCAAATAGAGGTTTTTCGTCGCTAGAAAATATTAAAACATTATTCAACAAATGTGTGTGTTCTAATGAAGATGCTTTACCATTAAAATATATTAGCAAGTTAATAACTGATTTAGCACAATTGTTCAACGAATCAAACTTTTATGATTTAGAAATTAGAGTTGGAGAGGATGATAACTTTAAAACCTTTAAAGCACACTCTACCATTTTGAAAGCAAGGTCTCCATATTTTAAAATAGCTTTATCAGATAATTGGATAAAAAAATCAAAAGATGGGATTATTTTATTTGAAAAAAAAAATATTTCTCCAAAAGTGTTTGAAGTTATTTTAACGTAAGTTTAGTTGTTTTGATTTATAAATTAATTGATTTTAATAATAATAATAATAATATTTAACACTTTTTTTGATATTTTGATATTTTTAAGATATATTTACAATGGAATTATAAACATAAATAATCTAGATGTATATGAAATTCTTGAACTTCTTGAAGCATCTGATGAATTAGATTTTAATGAATTAATTGAGGATTTACAATATTATTTAATCATTGAAAAAAAAGATTGGGTTCAAGAAAATTTAATTCACATTGATAATATTGCATCAAGACATCAATCATTTAACTTGCTTCAAGATTATTGTGGTGAATTGATTTGTAAAAATCCAGAATTATATTTAAAACCTGTTAACATTCCAGCAATTGAGAAATCTATGCTTATATCAATATTGAAAAGAGATGATTTAGAACTGGATGAAATCAACATTTGGGATTATGCCATTGAATGGGGATTGGGACAAATTGAATATTTTGATAATAAAAAAATTTCAGATTTGACTAAAAGTGATCTAGTTGAATTGAAAAATGTATTATGTGACATTATTCCATCAATAAGATTTTATGAAATCACTTTATTTGATTTTTGCAATAAAATCAACCCATATAAAGAAATTATTGTCAAAGAAATATATGAAGAAGCTCTCCAACATTATCTTAATAGCAAATGGCAACCAAATTTAATGATTCAAAAAGGTTCAAGAAAATCAAAAAGAAAGTTAATAAATTTGCAAATAAAACTTTTAATTTCAAGCTGGATTGATAAAACAAATGAACAATTTAATAATGAAACCAATTCATCATATGATTTTCAATTAATTCTTCGTGGATCTTGGGATGGGTTTTCAAGATCAGTATTTGATAATAAATGTTTTAACATCAAACAAACAGTTATTATAATGAAAATTAAAGAAACAGGCGAGCTAGTAGGCGGCTATAATCCAGTTTGTTGGAATATAAAAGGAAGGCTGCCACATGAATATTATAGGATTAAAACAAATAAAAGTTTTATTTTCAATATTGATGAAAATCAGATGGATAATTCAATAATAAGTAGAGTAAAGGATCCTGATTGTGCAATAATTCATTATTGTGAGAATTTTGACTTTACTACAACAGATAATATAAAATTTAATGAAAAGTGTATAGATTTCTATGATATAGCGTTATGCAATAGCATTGATAATGAGCCTTATTGTTATTATTTTTATTGGAATACTTATGAAGATAATTTGACTCTTATGAATAATAAGAAGAGCGTGCATTTGTTAGAAGAATATGAAGTCTATAAATTAGTAAAGAAAAATTAAAATATATTTTTTTGGGTAAGATGTAAGATGA